CAGGTGTCTCGCCCCAAGTTGTTGCATCAGGTTCGTCAGCCCCCCAGATGCCGTCATCAGTCGGCATGTTCGTCGGATCACCCCAACCTTCAACTGCAGCCATGTACTCCCGAGAGTTCTCAACATCATTCAAGCCTTGATCGTCAAAGGTCAACATGACGGCGGCAGCCGTGGTTGAAGACGTCGGTGACAAAATACTAGCGTGAGTTAGGCTTAGGAGCCATAGTTTAGGAGCCTTGGTAGTTGAGTTCGAGTTTAGGAAAAGTATCGAGAGGTTTGGAAGGAGAGGAATGGGGTTTCACTAGCAAGAGTTGGGATACAAGTACAACACCCTAAATTGGGTTGTACTCATTACAGAGTACCCCACTGCAGGCTAGACAGCAAATACATTCTGACACACCCCCATAGCCAAAGTGGGGTGTAATCAGCACAATGAGCAAGCATAGAGCAAGAGTTCACAATAGGTAAGTAAGGCTAGAGCTAATCACAGAGGGCAAGTGAGGAGGAGGAGAGACTGTGGGGGAGAGAAGATGGGAGGCGACTGCTGACGCTGCAGACACACAGACGAGCTGCTGGCTCAGTGGCTACCGGAACAGCGCTCCGGACTACTGGGGTAACTGGCCCCGCGGCTAAAAGTAGCGGCAGACGAGCAACGGACCCACGGGCGACTGGCGACTACCGGAGATTGTAGCCTCCGGACTGCTGCTGCTGCTGACGACAAGACTGCTGCCTCCACTCGACCTCCCCAGCTGCCTAACGCCCTTCTCACACACCCCCTGCTCAAACCCTAGCCCTACACCCACAGCACCCCCTTAAACCCTAAACCCCAGACTCCCACACATCCACCCCCCTCAGCGAGAGCTGCAGCAGTGGGAGACGAAGGAGGAGGAGGAGGAGGGAACGGCACGCACAACCGACACCCCCACAACCATCACCCCCACACCCACCCCCCCACGGCTGCACCGGGTCCAGGAGCGGCTGCTGCAGGGGCCAGGGGCGGCTGCTGCTGGGGCGGCTGCTCCAGGGGCTGCTGCTGCTGGGGCGGCTGCTCCAGGGGCTGCTGCTGCTGCTGAGGCGGCTGCTCCAGGGGCTGCTGCTGCTGGGGCGGCTGCTCCAGGGGCTACTGCTGCTGGGGCGGCTGCTCCAGGGGCTGCTGCTGCTGGGGCGGCTGCTCCAGGGGCTGCTGCTGCTGGGGCGGCTGCTGCTGGGGCGGCTGCTCCAGGGGCTGCTGCTGCTGGGGCGGCTGCTCCAGGTGCTGCTGCTGCTGGGGCGGCTGCTCTAGGGGCTGCTGCTGCTGGGGCTGATGCTGCTGGGGCGGCTGCTCCAGGTGCTGCTGCTGCTGGGGCGGCTGCTCCAGGGGCTGCTGCTGCTGGGGCTGCTGCTGCTGGGGCGGCTGCTGCTGGGGCGGCTGCTCCAGGGGCTGCTGCTGCTGGGGCGGCTGCTCCAGGGGCTGCTGCTGCTGGGGCGGCTGCTCCAGAGGCTGCTGCTGCTGGGGCGGCTGCTCCAGGGGCTGCTACTGCTGGGGCGGCTGCTTCAGGGGCTGCTGCTGCTGGGGCGGCCGCTGCAGTGGCGGCGGCTCCAGGGGTTGCTGCTGCTGGGGCGGCTGCTCCAGGGGCTGCTGCTGCTGGGGCGGCTGCTCCAGGGGCGGCTGCTGTTGCAAGGCAGGCCGCTCCAGGGGCGGCTGCTTCAGGGGCGGCGGCTCCAGGGGCGGCTGCTGCAGCGGAAAGTAGGAGGGAGGGGAGGGGAAGGGCGCGGCCCCCATTGTGCCCTGACGGGCGATGTGCTAGGGAGCCGCGCAGGTCCCCAAAAGTGCCTCGACTGGCAACGAGAGGGGACCGCGCGCAGGCCCCTAAGGCGCCGCGACGAGGCAACGGGAGGGGCCGGCTCGCGGGCCCCGAAAGTGCCGCGACGAGGCGACGGGAGGGACCTGCGTGCAGGCCCCCAAAACGCCTCGACGAGGCGACGGTCGGGGCCAGTGCGCGGGCCCCTAAGACGCCGCGACGAGGTAGGAACCCGCCGCGCACCTCGGGGCGCACGGCGGGCAGAAAACCGCCACGCGCTCCGAGCGCGTGGCGGGAAGAAAAATGGGATGTCGCGCGCCACGGGGCGCGCGACACACAGTAGGGCAGCGGAATCGAGTGGGCCCACAGGCCAGGAACGTTAAGCTCTGATAACATATTAAAATCCTAGCGTGAGTTTGGCTTAGGAGCCATAGTTTAGGAGCCTTGGTAGTTGAGTTCGAGTTTAGGAAAAGTATCGAGAGGTTTGGAAGGAGAGGAATGGGGTTTCACTAGCAAGAGTTGGGATACAAGTACAACACCCTAAATTGGGTTGTACTCATTACAGAGTACCCCACTGCAGGCTAGACAGCAAATACATTCTGACAAAGCGGCCACCGGGATCTCCTCCGGTCTTCAAGGCGCGCTATATGGCCAGAGGTTTCTTTCAGACCTTCGCGCCTACCCCGAAGATGACCACTCTTCGGGTGTTACTGCACGTAGCAGCACAGAGAGACTACGAGTTACACTCTCTTGACTTCTCCATTGCTTTCCTTCTCGGTAGCCTACACGAGAAGGTATGGTTGCGTCGTCCCTCTGCCTTCACTGGCACTTTCCCTCCTGGAACCTAGTGGAGGCTTAGGCGACCGGTCTACGGTCTCCGTCAGGCTCCTCGTGAGTGGCACGACACCCTTCGCTCTACCCTTTCTGACCTTGGTTTCCAGCCTTCTTCTGCCGAACCTTCTTCTGTTTTTCGTGGCTCCACACCGTTCTTTGTACAACATTGACGACCTAGTTTTCGCCACTGCTGACAGGGTTGCTTTGGCTGACGTGAAGCTCGAACTGCAAAAGAGACACAGTTGCACTGACCTTGGTGAGCTGCGCCACTACCTTGGCCTGCAGATCACCAGGGACAGAGCTGCTCCCACCATTACACTCTCACAGACACACATGGTGCAGCAGGTCCTTCAGCGGTTCGAGCTTCAGCACTCTACTGTACAGTGCACACCTTTTGCCGTTGACCACAGACTCACCGGACCCTTTCCTAACGAGCCGTTCGAGCCTAGTGGTCCTTATGCAGAGCTTGTGGGCTGCCTCATGTACCTGATGACTTGTACTCGCCCGGACCTCGCCTTCCCTCTCAGCATCCTTGCTCGCTTTGTTGCGCCAAGGAAACACCGTCCAGTTCACTGGACAACTGCTGTGAGGGTGGCGAAGTACCTGGCGACGACATCATGCGTGGGGCTGGTTCTTGGAGGGAGACAGGACATCGTGCTTACTGGTCACTGTGACTCTTCTTACGCTGATGACGCCGACACGCACAGGTCTACTCAGGGGTACTGTTTCAGCCTGGGCTCTGGAGCCATTTCGTGGAGGTCCACACATTCCTCCTCGGTCTCGACCTCTACTGCTGAGGCCGAGATCTACGCTAGAGCTATGGCTGCACAGGAGCTGCGCTGGCTGGCGTTCTTGCTCACTGACCTTAGTGAGCGGCCGAGCTTTGCGCCGACCTTGTTCACAGATAACAAGGCGACGATTCTCCTCTGTCGAGAGCCGCGACTGGAGAGCAGAGTGAAGCACATCAATGTCACGTACTTTCTTCTGCGAGAGTTGCAGAGGCGTGGACAGGTTCGTTTCGACTTTGTTGAGTCCGAGGCCAACACTGCAGACATCTTCACCAAGGCCCTGCCGCCTTGTGACCACCATAGGTGTTGTGTGCAGTTAGGTCTCGTTGACACATGTTCTCGCCTTGCATAGTCTTGAGTTCTCTCCTTGCCTTGTTTATACACTTTACATATACCTCTGTGAACTCTTGAACTAGCCTTGTGGCTCTTTTGCTTGTGCTCAGAGTGTGTGGTGACGTTGTGATCCACCCTGAGCTTTGTTTCTTTGTGACTGGTCTTGTGACCGTACACTTTCGGTTTTGCTTGACACCCCTCACTTAGACTATGGGGGTGTGTCAAATGTTGTAGTCTTAGTGATGTGTGTTATAAGGGGTACAATTGTTAGGGTTAGGTTTATGTACCCCAACCAACCTTAGTCAAACCAACACTTTCATTCTGAACAGGTAGCCCATAAGGGGTACAACCCGATTAGGGTTAGTACTTGTACCCAACTTTCTGTTCAATCCATCATTCTCGTTCTAGATTCTAACAGCCGGTGGCGGGAATGGTCATGTACGCGGTAAGAAGGGGCGCGAAGTAAGGAAAATGATTTTTCCTTACAGTGGATAAAGAGACGGTTGGACCTGAAATCTCCCTCATTATGCAACGCGGTCACAATATTCTTACATTTATGATGCAGAAAACTTTATTGGGGCACTGGCAAGTCAGCAATGTAACAACGCAGATATACAAAGTTTCCATGTATATAAGAATAATTTGTTTCTTTACAACATATTAACTGCATTCTTGCACCTAATCATTGGGTATGATGCAACACAAAAAAAGTGGAAACTGTTACAGGTTGATTTTTTTGTCAGCCTTACAGCTTCCAAGATAGTACACCCATGCGGTTATGGTATGATTTGTGGTGGTTGTGCAATGTGCAAGAAGCCTGCCCAACCCTTGAAAAATCGACTTATCTCAGAGATCTTACACTTCGGAAATAATGGCAGTTACGGGGGTGGTGGTGCAAGAAGCTGGTTCATCAGTTGAAAAACTATTGCGAGACTGTAAAAAATGGGCCTTTATCCATCTGTATGTTTACCAGAAGATGATTATAATACTGTAGATGGTGGTGCAAGAAGCCGGGTCAACGCTGGCGGGGATGGCCCAAACACGTCTTCAGGCAGATAAAAGGGTAGGTTCAGCCTCTGATCGGAGAGAAGGTAGAGAACGCGGTAGAGGGCGCCACATCAGAGGGCGCCACATCAGAGGGCGCCACGTTATGGGATTTGGGTGGGTGTACCGTGCAAGAACGAAATTAGCGGGTGATGCATCAACCCCAATCACGAAGTGAATAAAACGGGGAGAAACGAAACAAGTTGAACAGTTTTTTTACCTGAGCAAACACCTGGTCGGAATCACTGTGGTCCTGAGGGCGACCAGCTGCATCCCCCACGAAGAATGAGCTGCGTGGGACGGGAGGCAGAGGAGGAAGGAAGGTGGCAGGGAGGGGCGGCAAACAGGGGAGACAAAGTGGAGTATTTTGTGGTCCTGAGGGCGACCAGCTGCATCTCCCACAAATAATGAGCTGGGGGGAGGAGACAGGCGAGGGAGGCAGAGAGGAGGTGAGTAGGGAAGGCACACAGGGGAGTAAAAAAGGAGTGTTTTTTAGTCGACTCAAATCACAGTGGTCTTGAAGGCTGCAGCAGCATCTCTCATGAAGAAGGAGCTGAAGGGAGGAAACAGCAGAGGGAGGCAGGTGGTGAGGAGGCAGGGGAGGCAGAGGGGAGTGTTGTGAGTGGACTGAAATCACAGTGGTCCTGAGGGAGACCAGATGCATCTCCCACGAAGAATGAACTGCGGCAGAGGAGGGAGGCAGAGGGAGGCAGAGGAGGGAGGCAGAGGAGGGAGGCAGAGGAGGGAGGCAGAGGAGGGAGGCAGAGGAGGGAGGCAGAGGAGAGAGGCAGAGGAGGGAGGCAGAGGAGGGGGGCAGAGGAAGGAGGCAGAGGAGGGAGGCAGAGGAGGGAGGCAGAGGAGGGAAGCAAGAGGTGACGAGGCAGGGAGGGAGGCAGACAGGGGAGGAGGCAGAGAGGCGTGTTGTGAGTGGACTGGAATCACTGTAATCTGGAGGGCTGCAGCAGCACCTCCCGCGAAGAATGAGCTGAGGGTAGGAGACAGTAGAGGGAGGCACGTGGTGAGGAGGCATCAATCGGAGGCAGGCGGGGGAGGCAAGGAGGCGAGGAGTCGAGAATGCCACACACACTCACCTCTCCCCATCCACTCGTCTCCTTTCATTCCCACACACGCACAGCACGTGACTGACCTGGCTTCTGGTTTGCAGAGAGGTGACAGAAGCTCCTCTAGTGACAGCAGTGCCATCACATGCCACAAATCACTCACTCACCTCTCCCATTCCATGTGCTCTCTCTTCATTCCCACACGCGCACAGCAGGTGACTAAACAAACCCCCTTGTGGCAGCACCACCACCACCGCATGCCACAACAAACTCGCTTGCCTCTCCCCATCCACTGGTCTCTTTTCATTCCCGCATGCGCACAGGAGATGCCAGAGCCCCTTTTCTTGTTTGAACAACAACGAGTGAGCCCTCTGTAGCGGCAGAAACACCACCACATGCCAAAACCCACTCGTTCACCTCTCCCAATCCACGCGTCTCCCTTCATTCCCACACGCGCACAGCAGATGCCACCCCCCCCCCCCACCCCCACCCCCCCTCCCCCTCATGTCACAACACACTCACTGCAACGCTCACTCATCTCTCCCATTGCATCGTTACTCATGGTCAGGAAGGGCTGCAGTGCTAGAGAAGGCTTTTAGCGAGAAAAGAAAGAGAGTTAAAACCCTTGCTAAGAGAATCCTGAATGCAAAGACTGTCTTGACTCAATAGACTTTTGAGTCGACTCAAAAGTCGAATGCAAAGACTGTCTTGACTCAATAGACTTTTGAGTCGACTCAAAAGTCGAATGCAAAGACTGTCTTGACTCAATAGACTTTTGAGTCGACTCAAAAGTCGAATGCAAAGACTGTCTTGACTCAATAGACTTTTGAGTCGACTCAAAAGTCGAATGCAAAGACTGTCTTGACTCAATAGACTTTTGAGTCGACTCAAAAGTCGAATGCAAAGACTGTCTTGACTCAATAGACTTTTGAGTCGACTCAAAAGTCGAATGCAAAGACTGTCTTGACTCAATAGACTTTTGAGTCGCACACATGTTTCGGCGAGGCGGGAAGACCCGTCAAGCTTTCATCAGTGCTTCTGATCCAACTGAGATCTACAGCTAAGTATGAGCTAAGTAACTAACCCACACCGCGAACAGAAATCAAAGTTCCCAACTACCCAGATTGCCTAACAATGGGCATTCGGCAACACAGCACTGGGTAAAAACCCAAGGTCACAGGTGTCAGCCTTCCGTGGTGTCTTTGTCAGGGCTATCGATAAGCCTTGGAACCTTTGCTCGCACAAGTAAATTTTATAAGTTACGTGCACATCTCCATGCAATATAAGCATTCCCATATAAAAGCCGCGTGAACTGAGACGATTTTTGAGGCGCCTAAAAAATCCTCTCCCATTGCATGTGTTTCCTAATTCATTCCCACGCGCACAGCAGATGCAATAGCTCCCATTATGGTTTCCAGAGCGGTGACAGACCCCCCCCCTTCCCCCCTTTGTGGCACCAGCACCATCACATGCCACAACACCCTCACTCCCACACTCACCTCTCCCATTCCACTTGTCTCTCTTCATTCCCACACTCGCACAGCAGATGCCACAGCCCCCCTTCTGGTTTCCGGAACAGGTCCCCTGAGTTGCTGCGACCACAGGAGATGAAGATCTGGCGAAGCGGAGGAGAAGGGGGGAGGGGGGACGGAGAGGCGGGAGAGGGAAAAGGGAGAGAATGAGGGAAGAAAGAGTTTCAGTTCAAGGCGCACTATAGCGTCCGAAATGGGTCCTGCGTTGCTGCTTCTCTCTCTTCATTGCCTACCCCCTTCCGCGGTTCTAAATGCGCTTAGACGCTTCAAAAGGCAAACGCGACTACATGCATGCTGGCACTACATACGTGTATGGGCATGCAGCACGCCAGGCACAATGTCATCCGAACTGACTCTCCCATCTGCCCTCTCCCATCTGCCCTAACCCATCTGCCCTCTCCCATCTGCCCTCTCCCATCTGCCCTCTCCCATCTGCCCTCTACCCCTGCAACCCTGCAACACACACCTGCATGACCACCCCTGGCACCATGCGTATAAATCCGTTCAACCAGCCCATCCTGGAATCCGATCACCCAGCAGCACACCTAGTAAAACACACACACCTGCATGGGCACGCCAGGCACCGAGCGCATGAATCCATTCAGCCGGCCTATCTTGCTCTCAACGGCCTTGTGGCGCTGCTTGGTGAAGCTTCCTCCCTTACATAACCTCTACCCTGGCACCACACACCTGCATGGGCACGCCTGGCACAGTGCGCATGAATCCGTTCAGCCGCCCAATCTTGCTCTCAATGGCCCTGTGGCGCTGCTTGCTCTCAATGGCCCTGTGGCGCTGCTTGCTTGGAGAAACTCTTTCTCTTACGTAGCCCAGACCCCAACCTCAGCAACCCTGCAACACACACATACATGCATGCATGCACACATGCACCACACACCTGCATGGGCACGCCTGGCACAGTGCGCATGAATCCGTTCAGCCGCCCAATCTTGCTCTCAATGGCCCTGTGGCGCTGCTTGCTCTCAATGGCCCTGTGGCGCTGCTTGCTTGGAGAAACTCTTTCTCTTACGTAGCCCAGACCCCAACCTCAGCAACCCTGCAACACACACATACATGCATGCATGCACACATGCACCACACACCTGCATGGGCACGCCTGGGACTGTGCGCATGAATCCATTTAACCGCCCAATCTTGCTCTCAATGGCCTTGTGGCGCTGCTTGGTGAAGCGATCGATGTTCGACTCATTAGTAAAGATGACCTGGCCAGATTTGACAGGGGGGGCCAGCCAGGGTTTAGGGTTCGCGGTTTAATGGTCCGGGGAAGCCATGCCAGTTGCGCGATCTGGCTTTCAATGGCCTTGTGGCGCTGCTTGGTTTTGCGATTGATGTTGGATTCATTTTTGAAGATGACCTGACATGGGGGGGGGGTGACACAAGGATCAAATTAGGTGGAGGGTTGACATTGGGTTTCAGTTCAAACTTGGGGCCATTCTTGAGGGTGCTGGGAAGTGATTACCGCTCGACTCGTTGGTGAAGATGACCTGGCATGGGGCGGAGGGGAGAGAAGGGGGTGAAGGGCTGACAGAGGTCACTTTTGAGGGTGCTGGGGAAGTGATCAATGTTTGACTCACCTCACTAGTGATGATGACCTGGTGAGGGTGATGTGGAAATTAGGCACTGCGTTTTGAGGTTGATGCAGGGTTTTGCGTGTGCATGTGAAGCTATCAATGCTGGAATTATTGGTGAAAAGCACCTAATGTTTATGTGGAGGGTGGACATGAGTTTAAACGTTATGACTACTGTGCTTGATGAAGCTGGTTTCCGAAGTGCTTAAGCGATTGCTTTTAATGCGCCTAAAAACAAGGAGGAATGAATCGGGACTCACGATCTTGTAGCCTGCTTGGTGAAAGTGCTGCAAAACGCTGGGAACGGTATCGAACATGAGAGACCAGGCGTTGGGTCCCATGCTGTGGGGATAGCAAGGAGAGGGAATTGACAAGTGCGCAACAGTTGAGAGAGATGTGGGATGGAGCTGCGAACGCTGGGAACTGTGTCAAGCACGAGAGACCAGGATTGGGGCCCATGCTGTGGGAATGGGAGAGAGGAAGAGATATGGATGGAGAGGGGATGTGAAAGAGGAATTGAGAAAGGTAGGAACCGTCTCAAACATGAAAGACCAGGCGTTTGGTCTCATGCGGTGAGGATAAAGGAGAGGAAGGGACAGGGGGATTCGAAATGGGTGGAGAGAGTGACGCGCGGTGGTGCTGAGAAGACTGGGGATTGTTAAGAGAGCACATGAGGGACCACGAGTGTGTACCCATGCTTTGTGCAGAGAGGAGGGACTTCTGAGTCGATTCTAAAGTTATCTCAGGTGGAAAGCAGGACGTGCGGTGGTGTTGAGAAGACTGGGGTTTGTCAAGAGAACACATGAGAGGCAACAGACACTCCTTACCATCTACAGCTCAAACAGTCTCTCAACACACATGCACACTGTCATGTGGGATACCAAGTTGCTGCTGGGTGTTTTGAGAATTCTCAAAAACACCCTGCATGCACACTGTCATGTTGAATACCAAGTTCACTTTCACAGCAACCCCCTTGCCTCGAGTCACATGCGAACACTGGTGCCCCTCCCTTGCCACCTCCAAACTCACATGCGCAAACAGAATTGACGAAGCAGCCATGATCCGACGGGATCAAAGGCACGTGATAATAAATCTGTTTTGAGACATCTCAAATCAAAGGCAGAGAGACTCGACCTCCCCCCCCCCCCCCCCCCCTCCCCCTCCTCAACTGATTCTATAGTGAAGATTTGATCCATACTGGCTCTCTAAGGAACGTTCTAAGCTAGCGCGTAACCAGGCTCTTTCCGCCATCAATCCATGGAGTTTGTCTCGCTGTCCTAATACAGCACGAGTTGATGGAAATAAGGCCTCCGCAGCCCACCTGTCCGCTTTTGACAGCAGCCATGATCCGACGGGATCAAAGGTAGAGAGACTCGACCTCCCCCTCCCCCCCCCCCTCCTCAACTCACACGTGCACGTGACACACACTCCTCCACCCCTAAACCTACAGTCCCTGAACACACATGCGCAGTGTGTGCACACCCTGGGTATCAGATTCATGTCCCACTGGACAACAGCACCCCACTCCCCCTCTCTGATATTAAGACGTCTCACAACTACTGGATAGCAAGTTCACTCACACAGCACAGCACCCCTTTTGAGGCGCCTCAAAAGTCCACTTCCCCCTCTCTGATATTAAGACGCCTCACAACTACTGGATAGCAAGTTCACTCACACAGCACAGCACCCCTTTTGAGGCGCCTCAAAAGTCCACTTCCCCCTCTCTGATATTAAGATGCCTCACAACTACTGGATAGCAAGTTCACTCACACAGCACAGCACCCCTTTTGAGGCGCCTCAAAAGTCCACTTCCCCCTCTCTGATATTAAGACGCCTCACAACTACTGGATAGCAAGTTCACTCACACAGCACAGCACCCTCCTCCCTGCGCCACGCCTAAACTCACATGCGGACATTGGTGTTGACCAAGCAGCCATACTGGTGTCGCCTCACACATGCACACACACTTGCGCCCCTCCTTGCACCCCCACCTCACATGCGCATCACTCCTCAACTTCCCGCCTCTCAACTCACATGCGCACGTTGGTGTTGACCAAGCAGCCACACTGGTGCCACCTCGCACATGCACACACACTTGCACCCTCAACTCAACTCACATCACTCACATGCGCACATTGGTGTTGACCAAGCAGCCGTCGAAATCAAAGGCCGCGATTCGACTGGATGGCTTCAGATTAGGGCTCTGAAGGGGAGGAGGGACAGAAAGGGAGGAAAGAAAGGATGGGATGGGATGGGATGGGATAGGATGGGATGGGATGGGATGGGATGGGATGGGATGGGATGGGATGGGATGGGATGGGATGGGATGGGATGGGATGGGATGGGATGGGATGGGATGGGATGGGATGGGATGGGATGGGATGGGATAGGATGGGATGGGATGGGATGGGATGGGATAGGATGGGATGGGATGGGATGGGATAGGATGGGATGGGATGGGATGGGATGGGATGGGATGGGATGGGATGGGATGGGATGGGATGGGATGGGATGGGATGGGATAGGATGGGATGGGATGGGATGGGATGGGATAGGATGGGATGGGATGGGATGGGATGGGATAGGATGGGATAGGATGGGATAGGATGGGATGGGATGGGATGGGATGCATGAGGGAGATTTGAGTGATGAAGGCAAGGACAGGAAAGGGGAATGGAGTGTGATTTAGGTGAAACTTCAAGGCTCAAAGGTTCTTCACCCAAAGAATAGGAGACTCCTCACACACGGCTCAAGAGAATAGGACGAATGAAACAAGTAAAAAGGTATATTCGTGAGGCGCCTCACGAGGAACATCGCACATGGAGAATGGGTAGGCATCGCAGAAATACCATGTGGAAGATGACTGAGGAGCATGAGAGCATGTGCATTGGTATTGAGGCAGCAGGAGAGCATGTGCATTGGTATTGAGGCAGCGTACACATGGTGGAGGAGCATAGCAGAAGGAGGGTTGGAAGGCATAGCAGAAGGAGGGTTGGAAGGCATAGCAGAAGGAGGGTTGGAAGGCATAGCAGAAATACCTGATGACTGAGGAGAATGCGAGCATGTGTATGGCTCTTGAAGCAGCGTAAACATGACACATGGCAGAGGAGAATAGCAGGAGAGTCGAAAGGCATAGCAGGAATACCTGATGAAGGATGACTGAGGAGAATGCGAACCAGCCAGGAGGCAGAGGAACGTCCTGGGAGGAAGCATAGGATGGTGAGGGGGAACAAGGAAGAAGAGTAGCCAGCTGTAGCTGATCCCCTGTGTTTCACAGTGGGAATGGTGGTGTGAGTGGGATTATTGTGCATGAGAACAGTGGGTGGGGATCAGGAACAAACTACCCAGACGATACATGTTTCAGACAGGATGAGACAAACAAGTGTTGATAAAATTTGAAACCTGTGTTGTAAGAGAAGGTACCTACAATTACTCCTTGACAATTCGTCTCAAAGGCTACTACAACCTTCCCCAAATGTAATACCCACCTAGTTAAAACCACTTGCAAGCTTCACATGCTGCTGCAGTAGGGGGGTCCTCTGTGGTACGTGTGGGTCCCATGATTCCACATCTGTCACTCAGCAATTCCACATCTGTCACTCAGCAATTCCACATCTGTCACTCAGCAATTCCACATCTGTCACTCAGCAATTCCACATCTGTCACTCAGCAATTCCACATCTGTCACTCAGCAATTCCACATCTGTCACTCAGCAATTCCACATCTGTCACTCAGCAATTCCACATCTGTCACTCAGCAATTCCACATCTGTCACTCAGCAATTCCACATCTGTCACTCAGCAATTCCACATCTGTCACTCAGCAATTCCACAAGTTCCATTTGCGCAAGAGTACCCAACCCCATCCCCTCCTACTGACGCGATTTTTTAGGCGCCTTTAAAATCCCCATGATTCCGCATCTTCGCAATTCCACAAGCTCCACAAGAGCACCCACCCCCTCCTTCCCCCATCATAACCCTCACTCTGCCCTCCCCACCACACCTCCTCCCTCTCCCTTTCCCCCCACATCCCCTCCCGCTCCCTCCATCAGATTCCCTATTCATCATGCCTCCCGCATGCATTGAGGTGAGTTTTGATGCATGGATGCTATTTTTGAAAAAAATCTCAACAAAACCTCAAAACTTGCCTAAATTCCCTGTTCATCATGCCTTTCACATTCCAATTTGCCCCTTCCCTCTAGCCGCTCACAACCATCCCCTCCCACTTCCTCGCACCTCTTGCAACCCACCTCCCTTCTCAAGTCCATCGTGCCTCGCACACTCCAACTCCTCGGTCCCTCACCCATCCGGGCTCCTCTCCAAGTCCCTCATTGTGCTGCCTCTCACAAGCCCCCAAGTCCCTCATTGTGCTGCCTCTCACAAGCCCCCAAGTCCCTCATTGTGCTGCCTCTCACAAGCCCCCAAGTCCCTCATTGTGCTGCCTCTCACAAGCCCCCAAGTCCCTCATTGTGCTGCCTCTCACAAGCCCCCAAGTCCCTCATTGTGCTGCCTCTCACAAGCCCCCAAGTCCCTCATTGTGCTGCCTCTCACAAGACCCCAAGTTCCTCACCGGCTCATCCCCCCATCTGTCTAATATATTACAGCTCCTCTAGTCCGTGCCTCCTCTTGCAAACGAACTCTCCTTTCTTCTTGCCTCTTTTAACACACAACTCCAGCATTTAAAGCTTGATAATAAGGGTTTCGAATGTCGAATCCAACTTAATTAGCCATGGTTGGCTCATTCGAAGTCAAATAGGCTCGTGGGTTCGACCAACTTACGGATTTCCCTTATTCCATAGTTCACGGTTCCTTTTTATATAGTCACAACTCCTTTTCCATAATTTGGTCTCGAGTTTTTGTCATTATCGAACTCGCACAAGCACGACTTCTGCGTAGTTATGAGCACTAACCAAACCCAAACATGTTCGGGTCGAGCCAAGTCGAACTGCATCTACCAACAAACCGAACCAATTTAGTTCAAGGGAATTTTTTATTTGGCCTTTTGAGGTTCGAGGTTCGGCAGAGCCTGGTCGAACCCTAGAAAGTACAACCGAACTACAAAAGGTTCGTCACAAACGTGAACAGGTTCTCTTCAAGTCGCCATTTCGTTATAATCACATTGAAAGTGGCATTGTGCTTTCAAGACATTCTTTACCCGTTGAGCGGGATCTGGGGGTATGGGAGGTGTGGATAGATACTATGATGGATTATGCGCGTTTAGCGTATATATGCGTATCGTATATATGCTAGCATGTATACGCCATACGCTTGAGGGTCGGATCAGGCATACGCTTTTTCGGGCAGGGAAAAAAACATTTCGGGCAGGGTGGAAAAAAATTACCCCCTATCTCATCTCACTAAGACGTGCCCTAGCATTTTCCTGAGTCTGATCGGCGGGTGGGGTGGGGCGGGGAGTAGACATCATAGCTAGAGGGAGTAGTGTTGGGGGGGCTGTTCAAGTTGGAGTGCGCGGGGACACTGCTGCAAGCGGGAATGCAAGGTAGGAAATGACGGGTTAGGAGTTGGGTTGGCTGGTAAGTAGCGCCGAATATATCTCAGCGGACAAGCGAGTCCGCCCGGGGGAGCTCGCTGCCCGCGGGCAAAAAAAATAAAACCCATTCGGGCATGCATCCGGTCAGGGAGGCATCAACCCTAAACACAGGGAGGCATGGATTTAGGGTTGATGCCTCCTTCGGATGGCATGCCATCCGATAGGGTTTTAGTTTTTCTGCCCGGGGCAGCATGTCGTCAAGTCGTCAACAGGTCGTCAGGCTTGACGACCCGTTTCCGCTGAGATGTTCCGTGAGATTTGTTGGGGGGCCGATTTTGATAGGTTGGGGTTCGTAGACAAGATGGTTTTCAATGCGGTAGAGGGGATGGGTTCAAATGCCTAGATGGGACCTGAAATTCGACATTTGAATAGCCAGATGTGCCTGAAAACTTCGAAGTCAGATCCCAGCTTGCATAGACCGCGGATTTGCATTTCGACTTCGGCGAAATGCTCACCAAGAAAATCCTCATCTTTTCTGCGATTTTACTTTCCCGGGCTGCCCGAAAATTTTTATGGCTGCGTAGTATTCGCTAGCATTTAGCGTATTGCGTGTACACGCTAGCGTAGATACGCTAAACGCAAAGGGTCTAGAGCGTATAATCCATCATAGGATAGATACACACTTAAACTTCCCCAAACAGAAGCTTATCCTTCACACCACACCCATGCGCAAATACGTGGGTGTGCGGTAGGGATCAGCAAGGGGCGAGCACGAACGTGTTCACGTTCGCCCCAGCTCGAACACTACCGTTCGGCAAACCGAACAGTGTTCGGTTCGCCGAACACCTTTTACAAAAAAGGGTGTTCGATGTTCGCCTGTGAGGGTGAACATCTTGCATGCTAAGGCGAACACGAACGTGTTGGGGGCGAACTAACGAACCTTTTCCCGTCCGTTGCGAACGTTTTAGCTAGAAATAAATGTTTTGACAACTGTCAAACCAGTTTGGTCGAACTGAACTCTAAACCCTAAACCCTGAACCAGACAGTAGTTCGGTTCGATGCTCATGCATGTTCATGAGAAACCAATCTTTAGGGTCCACAAGCTAAGGGGTAAGAATAAACAAGTCAAGTAATCCTCACTTGAAAGGTCTACAAGAGTCTGCTAAATATAATAAAACATGAGATTGAGGGCTGAAACGATCGAGCACATGCAACTTTGGAACTTCGCACTACCTCCTAATCCTCCATGCACAGCTGCATCAACGATCGACATGCTAACACAGACAACCATAACTCAAGGGTATGCATGCACACAAACATGCTCAAAGCTGAGCATCTGATGCTGCCATGTGACAAATAGCCGACCAAGCATTTTTTAACTGTTAAGCTGGTAGGCCCATCTTAGGGCACCAGTATGCGAGCGGGCACACAAAGCAACCTCTTAATCCTACTCCTCTGACCCCACTAAGAACTCCTCCCCCTCCATCCGCTTCTGTCAACCAATTTTACTAGTGCATTCTTCGGCCACTCTCGATACTTCGCTCCTCGTACGCTTGCGAGCTGCAATAAGCCGGGCAACGTCGCGTTCTACTAACCAACTAGACGGTATCATGCCCGGCAACCCACAGAGTGGGTTCAACATAATCAGGAACTCGTGGAACTGTGATAGCATGGGTAGGACAATGAACAACAACAAGGAGGTTTGAGCGGGTCTACAAATTTGAACTGAAAAAAATAAAAAAACGATTAAGGCCGAGCCAGCAGAAGGAATGATTGCCAACAAACTCACCGCTGGTGAATCCACCGCTTCAACTGGGAAGCCTAAATCGGCCGCCACCAACTTTGCAATGGCACGTCGAAGACGGGGCTTGAACAATTCAGGGACCATATAGCGACTGATATCCTCTAGCCCTTCTTCTACAGACTCGTGGGCAACAACGGGAGGATGTGGCCCTCTCCGCTGTGCCGTCCCACTTGGCTCGCCCTGGTATCCACCAGTAAAAAACGAGTCAAAGTTAGTGTTCTATTCAGATGCCTTATAAAGTGCCAATAGTGTTCTCGATGGAACCTCACCATGTGTCTGCTATAGTTTCTAATAGCGATTCCTTTAAATTACATGCGCGGCTTGCACATCCTCCAAGTCAGTTTGGCAGTGGGCCACTTTGCAAATCCGGTTCCTTCTTAAAACCAGGGTGCACATTCAACGCGGTTCGGCTTGAGATGTTGGGAAGGGGGTTTGGAGAAAAACAGTGATTGGCTCACGAGGGGCGACAAAAAAATGATTCCGCTAGAGCTTCGGGCATTTCGTAGGTGGCGGGAGGGGGTGAAATGGCGGGAGTGGGTGAAACCGAATGGCGGGAGGGATGAAACAGATTGGCGGGAGGGGGGGGAAACGAAATTGCGGGGGAGGGGGGAAACAAAATTGCGGGGGAGGGGGGAAACGAATTTCGACGGGGAGGGGGAAATGAAATTGCGGGGGCGTGGGGAAACGAAATTGCGGGGGAGGGGGGAAACGAATTTCGACTTGAAGGGGTTGAAAGCACACCTCGTAACCCACTCAGTCAAGGGATAACCTTTGATGCACATTCAGCTGAATGTGCACCCCGGTTTTAAACAACCCACCTTCAAGGATTTCTACCCACCCCGTTCGGCAAACCCGCACTCACCTTGTACAGCCCCTTGAGTGACTGATGAGAGAAGGTTCCCAGAACTTTCTTCACAGCAGGTGAAGGAGCAGGATAGGTAGCGGAGCCTGCGCTTAGAACCTGCCACGATCATCGAAACAAAAGGTGAAAGAAGAGGCAGCGGAGCCTGCTTAGACCTCGTATGCCACTCTCGCATGTAATTCACATGGCAAAATGTCTTCACGCCATAAAGCATTCAAGCACACCAAACCAAACCACTGCAAGCAGCTGTCTTAAATGAAAGGTATCAGCAACATGTCCCTTCTCTTTGAGTTATGGGGACCATTAAGTTGTGCCATCGCCAGCACACGCACCTGGGAAAGCACGCCATAAAGCAGTCAAGCAGCTGTCTTAAACGAAAGGTATCAGCAACATGTCCCTTCTATTTGAGTTATGGGGACCATTCAGTTGTGCCATCGCCAGCACACGCACCTGGGAAAGCGCGCCATAAAGCAGTCAAGCGGCTGTCTTAAACGAAAGGTATCAGCGCCATCGCTAGCTAGCACCCGCACCCGGGAAAGGTATAGAAGCCACATTACCTTGCTCCTCTTCGTCTCAGGGCCGCTGGAGTCCTCACTGTTGCTCTCATCCGCGTTACAAGCACCCCCTGCTTCGACCACACCATCCGGCACTGTTCCAACCCTAACCACCCCTCCTCCCCAGCACCTGCCCCCAGGTCAAATAGCCACATTACCTTGCTCCTCTTCGTCTCAGGGCCGCTGGAGTCCCCGCTGCTGCTCTCATCCGCGTTACAAGCACCCCCAGCTTCGACCACACCGTTCGGCACTGCTCCAGCCCTACGCCCTTCCTCTCCCACAGCTCCTTCCATCACCCTCTTCCCTTTCCCCTCCCTCCCTCTTTCAGCAGCAGCGGCGACAGCAGTGGCAACAGCAGCAGCGGCAGGCTGTGAATCAGGGGAGGAAGCACCAGGAGCAGCAGCAGAGGCTCTCGTGAGAATGGCCTGGAGGGATTGCTGGTCAGACGGCTGGGAGTGGGGTGTGGTGGGGAGGAGGCAAGGAAAGAAAAGAAAAGAACTATTATCAGACTCGCTTTCAGCAGCTCTCGTGAGAATGGGCTGAGGGGAGGGATTTCTTGAGTTGGACCGTGGTGGTGCTGACAGAGGTAGACCGTAGAAGAAACTAATGTGGCCCCTAAAAAATGGTGATGGTGTGGGGTGTAAGAAAGAAAAGCAAATTCTGTTGACCCTCGCCTCCATTTGTGAGAATTTGTGAGAATGGTTCGCCACCGCCCCACAATCCCCCAACTTACGAAAAATGCGAACACTATTCCTATCAATCCCCAACTTCCGCAATTCGCGAATGCTTTCCCCAACCCCATGCATACGAAATTTGCGAATGCTTACCCCCAACCCCCAACTTCAGAGATTCTGCAGTATTCCTGTCTAATCCCTTCCCGACAACCTAAATCTCACCTACCCAAGTCTAGTCAGACTAACCTAAGGTAACAATCTACTTACGCTAAGTCCTAATGAGGTGATAATGGCGTGATGTGTGGGGGCCGTGGTAGTGATGGCTGCTGCTGAATAGCGCGACTAAGTTTGAGCTCAACTTTGAGCTCAAACCGAATGTCCCGCAACCTAAATTGTAGATCGCGGGACAGTCGCGACGAACACATTCGTGTTCGTTTTTGCCCCGAAACGAACATGAACGTGTTCTTGTTCGTCGCGGCTCGGCACCCACGACGAGACGAACACCGAACGTGTTCGGGCGAACACCGAACACGTTCACCACGAACATTTTTAGCAAAAAAACTAACCTGTTCGGTTCGCCTCGAACGTTCGAGGCGAACCGAACAGGTGTTCGTCACCTTGCTCAACCCTGGGGTACGGCTAGGAAAAGAGAGAATGCAATCTGCGCTCATTCTGGTTGTAAGAACCCTTGTGGTGTAGTTGTCTGGAGCGTTATTTTTCCGGTGAAGGCCTGGACAAGCACGGTGATAGCTTCGCACCTTCAATCGCGTGAAGCCCTGTAAGCTGGATGGTGACTCTATCGAAAGCGAGTTAGCCGCGGCGACGCAGGGAGCGTGATACCTGAGAAGCCATAAAGGTTTCCGGCATAGGATGATGGAAAGACAGCTCTCAGTATCCAATTATATAAATGTTAAAATAAATCAGTAGAGAAGGTAACTCAATTGAAGGACACGACGAGGATTCGCACCATTTAGTGACGTCGAATCCGCCATTGCCTTTGGTCACGACGCCGACTCGAATGTCATCCTTAGCTACCGCCTTGCTGCAGTGCCGACACGCGGCGCGGCCTGATCGCGCGTACTCGACCACTGCTCGCGCCGCGCCCACAGCGGCGGTTGACATAGACGTGCTGCACCCTCACGCTAGTTAAGAAATACCCAGTGTCGCAATAGCTAGGGAAAATGCGGTGCAGTCGCGTCTGAAGAAAATGGTGTATGAGATAGCCGAATTGGGAACATGAGACTCCGCGTAATAATGCCACATTCTCCGCAAATCGTCCAGTGCGGTTCAGAAGGTTTTCACGCGGTAATCGGTCGGTGGAACCCGAATTGCACGGTACAGCCCAAACATTCAATCTAGGACGGGGCTGTTTTAAAACGCAAAGCACCTCACTGCACCATACCGTTATCAAGCTTGAGTGAGGAGGGAACCAGTCCACGGCGTGGCCAAACGGGTACGTGAATCCTCGTTTGATATTTACGTTACGTGGGATGCCTTCGATGCTTGTGATTCGTCTATCCGATTTCGCGAGCAAATCACCAGCAGACACGGATTCCAGTGGAGACCACGAACCCACCAATTTCAGCAGGGACCAGCCACGCTCGACGAAGCTCAGAACGCTTTGAGTCGACCGAACTACGCAACAACCCGAACTTGAAATGCGAACCGATCGCAACCAGGTTTAAGGTCTTGAAACAAATGCTTTGGAAACACGCCTTGGGTTGAGATTAGTTCCTTGCAATTCCCACCTTGAAAATACCTGCCTCGAGAGTACCTACCTTAGGGAATGCTTGGCTGGCAATGTGCGAATTCCGAGCATATGAAGCTAGCGAAGCCTACCAACCTAGGTCGCTGGGTTGGACTCGCGCAGTTAGGTGAAACGCCCGGGCGCTTTACTCCCTCTCACGGTTCCCTGCCTTTCATATTGATCGATTTCTGGTTATTTCTGTCCTGGAATTCGCGCTCTGGTTGTTTGTTGTCTCTAGTGACATTACATCCGTTGCATCACCTATAATTTCAGCGAATTTATACCTCCCACTCTTCAATGGCGTACTGAATTCATAGAGATAAACACCCTGGCGTTTGCTGCTTTTACCGAGTACAGAATGACGTCATCGCCTCATTGCAAATGCTAAATCCGTTCACAAATACCAATCTATTCCTCCACTGTACACGTGAAATTAGGTTATAGCGAGTATAAGGGATGTGATCGCCACTCTCACGACATCAGACGGACCCACGCAGCATGTTTTGAACCTGTACACGGCTGACCTCCGCACTCAAGGGGGATTTACTCTGAAAAAACAAGAGGAGATGGATCCGAAAGTCCGTCTTTCTGGCGTTCTTTTGGTCTTCGCCCTGGTCTTCATCGCTCTCTCTCCACAGGTCGCCTTCTTTTCCCAGTCATACCCCCATTGCTTTCAATCTATGAAGATTTTCGCGGGTCGGCCTCACTTCTACTGTGGAATTGCCTCACTCCTGACGGTGTTGCCACTCCTTGCGCGTGGTGCTGTGATTGGGGGGGACGAGTGGGGGAAGGATGGGGGGAGTATGGGGGGGAAGGATGGGGGGTGGATGGTGGGGAGGATGGGGATCAATGGGGACGGGCAAGGATGAGGGGGAGGATGGGGACCAGGGGGACGGGGAGGTGGGGGGACAAGGATGAGGGGGAGGATGGGGACCAGGGGGGCGGGGGGATGGGAGGGGCAAGGATGAGGGGGAGGATGGGGACCAGGGGGACGGGGGGGTGGGAGGGGCAAGGATGAGGGGGAGGATGGGCTAAGGATGGGGGGACGGGTTGAGTAAGGGTGGGGGCTAAGGGGGGGAGGGAGGGGGGTTTGAGGGGGGAGGGGCGGGTGGGGAAGCGGAGGAGGGGAGGGAAGGGGGTTTGAGGGGGGTCAGGGTCAGGAGGTGGTGGGTGGGCTGGGGGAGGGGGTGCTTGCATGGGCAGGTGTATCTGTGCAGGTGGCATCTGCATCGCTGGTCAAATCAGATCAGATCCGATCTTCCAAGGATGTGATTGGGCAGGTGGTGGAGTTTGAAGCAGAGGAAATTGAAGCCCTGGAGGGCGGCAACGCTCGTCCACATGCGGCTGGTCTAGAGGGCGGCAACACGCGTCCACAAACCACAGACATATCTGACTGGAGTGGGAGTGGGAGTGGGAGAGAAAACGGGGGTGGAACTGAGGCAGTTACAGGGGGCACACAGCAAGAGGGGGAGCGAAGTTGGTGGAGGTGGGATGTGGGGAAGGGCGAACTGGTGCAGAGGGAGGGACCAGAGGGGCTGGCTGACGGGCAGGAGACACTTTTGTGGTTGCCCGAGATCGTGTACGAGGATCTGGAGCTCATGGATTTGAGATATTTCCAGGTGGGCGATAAATTTTCAGTTGGTCAGGTGGGGATGGCAGGAGGTGGATGAGAAAAATCTGTGGGTGTGATTTCATCAGGTGGATCGGATTGGTGTAACTCATAACTTCACTTGACAGCCCATCGCATGCGTGTGTGCCCTTTGTGCTCACCCATCACATACACTTTGATACTGATATTGCCACTTTTCTCTCCATTGCCTCTTTTTTTCTTCCTCTCAAAACTGCTGCATCTCTCACCCTCCCTTCCCATCTCCCTCCTCACCTCTCTCACCCTCATCAGCTTCTCTCCGCCTTGCCGGCCGGGACTTCACTGTTCAGCTCCTCTCTGTCCTTCCCTCTCTCATGCTGACAGAATCAATCCACAAAATCCTTCCCACCACTCTTCTCTTCCCCCTTGTTTCCATACCAAACCCCCTCCTGCTATCCCTCCTCCCATCCCCTCCGCCCCTCCCATCAGGGTCCGCACTGGCTAGCCCCTGCCTGCTCCTCCTCTTGCTGGGATAACTCATCCAAACCTAGTACCTACCCACAGTCGTTCTCTCTTTCCCCCTCCACCTTCACCCCCAACTCCCGTTCCTCCTCCCACCCTCTCCCTCCCCCCACTCCCATCAGGGACTGCACTCCCCAGCCCCTGCCTGCCCTTCCTTCGCTCGCTGCCGCACCGGCCGCAGGCAGGCAGGCAGGGTACTGGCGTGCAATGGACACGACCCCTTATTGAGTGATCCGTTATCAGGCAACAACGGTGGTGCGTCAGTGGACGTGTCAGGGCCAGCATCTGTCAGTGCGTCAGAGGCAGATTCGATGGGCACCGTAGGATCTGTTGCAATGGACGCATCAGGCTCGGCATCTGCAGCGGGGTTAGGTTCGGCATCAGTGGATGTGTCTCCTCTGGTGGACCCCTCTCCTGTGCTCACCTCGCCTCCCCCCAACCACATGAAGGAGAACGCGAGCTATGATGTGGCCATGGCTGAGCCGTTCGCTGCACAGGTGGGTGGGAGAGAACGGCTTTTTGGTGGCAAGAGGTTGTGGGGTATGTGATGCGGTGCAGTGTGGTTGGTAAAGAAGGGTTTTGCGTGGTGTTCATCACCTCACCTCCCCCCAAACCAACCACGTGAAGGAGAATGCGAGCTATGATGTGGCCATTGCGGAGCCGTTTGCTGCTCAGGTGGGTGGGGAAGAGTGGCTGAGTAGTGGCAAGAGGTTGTGAGGGGTTAGACATGGTGTGGTGTGGTTGTACTCACTCACCTCGCCTCCACCTAACCCAACCACGTGAAGGAGAACGCGAGCTATGATGTGGTTGTTGCGGAATCGTTTGCTGCTCAGGTGGGTGCCACGCATCGCGAATAGCGTCACCGATCGACCAATCGACCGATCGACCGATCGACCGATCGACCAATCGACCGATCGACCAATGAATTATTTGTAGCCAGTCCTATAAGTATTCTCTTCTTCTTCTCCTTCTCCTGCTGTCCCTTGCAGGTGTTCCTGCTAGAGAACGTTTTTATCAACGATCGGGGCATGGTGTTTGATGCCATGTACCACTACCGCTATGGGCTGCTGTGCAGGTATGCAGTGTGTGGTGATATAGGCATGGACGCACATATGAACGCAGGTGTTGCTGTAACACTATCCATCACTTCAACGACCGTGGCATGGTGTTTGATGCCATGTACCACTACCGCCATGGGCTGCTGTGCAAGTGTGTAGTGTATGGTGGTATGTACATGTATGTGTGCTCTGGATGGCCCCATCTCTTCATCAATGATCGTGGCATGGTGTTTGATGCCATGCACCTCTACGTCCATGGGCTGCTGTGCAGGTATGCATGTGTGCAAGCATGCACTAACGTATGAACGCAGGTGCTGCTGTGATATCATCCATCTCTTCATTATCGCCCATGGCACAGTGTATGCATGCATTCTATTATCGACCATGTTTGATGCCATGTACCACTACCGCCATGGGCTGCTGTGCAGGTGTTTATGTGTGTAGGCATGCCCCAACGTATGAACGTGGTACTGGTGTTTGATGCCATGTACCACTACCGCCTGCTGTGCAGGTGCGTATGCATGTGGGCCATGTGCGCTATATATGGCATCATGCACACGGGTAACGAAACCACGACCCGTGGTGAGCACATGAGCACACATGTTAGGAACCCGAGGATCCTTGGGCTATTGGTGAGCACATGAGCATACGAGCACACGAGTTGAACGACCTGCTCTCATCGCCCCTTTCAAGTGTGGCAGCATCACCCCTCAAACGGTCATTGTATAGCTTCACCCCTTCACACCCATAAAACAAGGGTACAGCGCCATCCCTCTCTCTCCCCCACCCCCACACCCCCAGTTAGGTCCTGCGCTCTCGACTTCGGCATGTACACGGGCAATGAAACCAGAGCGCACAATTTTTGAGGCGTCTCAAAACTCGACTTCGGCATGTACACAGGAAATGAAACCAGAGCGCACACGTGTGCAGTGACCTGACCTGACCTGACCTGACCTGACCTGACCTGACCTGACCTGACCTGACCTGACCTGCTCTGCTCTCATCGGTCCGCTCTTTCCTGCCTGTTCAACCATCACAACGTTTCTTCCTCCTCTCCTCCTCCTCCTCCCCTATTGCAGATCTTGTCCTCTCGACTTCGGCCTGTACACAGGGAACGAGACGAAAGTGCACGTGTACAGTGAACTGCTCTCATTGGCCAACTGGAACGGCGGGAATTTCTACCATTCCCTGCTCGAGGTCATGCCGTCGTTGCTCTACCTGCGGCCATTCTTGGAAGCAAAGCCGGGCATTCCAATCCCAGTCAAGATTGACCAGGTAAGGTGCGGTGTGGTGCGGTTCAATGAGGTGAAGTGCCCTTGCTCGTTGTCTCTGCAATTCCCACTCAACTTCGACCATTCGCTGCTCGAGGTCATGCCGTCGTTGCTCTACCTACGACCGTTCTTAGAAGAAAATCCCAACATCCCACTCCCAGTCAAGATCGACCAGGTGAGATGAGGTGCGGTGCAGTGAGATTTGGTGGCTGTCTCACTGAGTGTATCGTGTATCGTGTTTTTACGCAAGTTCTGGATTAAGTTGACGTTTTGTTTAAACTGGCTCTCTAAGACAACGCTCTAAGCTCACAGTTAACCGGGAAATTCCATCCATTCCATGGGGTTTGTCTCGTCGTTCTAATAACCATACGAGTTGATGGAAGTAAGACCTTCGCAGTCCACTCCCAGTCAAGATCGACCAGGTGAGATGAGGTGTGGTGCAGTGCGCTGAGATTTGGTGGCTGTCTCAGTGAGTGTATCGTGTCTGTCTAAACTGCCAGTTCACTGGACCAGCAAGCCCCAAACTTCAACCGCTGCTCGAGGTCATGCCGTCCCTTCTCTACCTGCGGCCATTCTTGGAAGCAAAGCCGGGCATTCCCATTCCAGTCAAGATCGACCAGGTGGGATGCGGTGGGGTGCGGTGCTGTGCGATGTGTCGGTTAACCTTTTCCACTGGAATGACAGCAATTTTGCCACCCGTTTCTCGAGGTCATGCCGTCCCTTCTCTACCAGTGTGTGACTGTTTCTTGAAAAGAGAACGGACGTTTTTTTGAGAATTCCAAAAAACATACGCTGTTTCTTGAAAAGAGAACCGACGTTTTTATCTCAGTGAGGTCGGCCAGGTTAGACGAGGTGCGTTACTGGCGGTGAATGCCTGGAACCCAAATCCCTGCATCCCAGCCCTTCTTCCTTGGACCAAGGCCTTTATGTTTCGCAAACCCCAACTTCTGCCACCCTCTTCTCGAGGTCATATGCCGTTCCTGCTCTACCTGTGAGAAATTTCCACAGAAAGGCCCGGACATTTGTCGTGAAGTAGCTCCCCTCCGTCTGCTCTTCTGACTGTTCTTCTCTTCCTCCTTCTCATATTCCCCTTTTTCTTCCTGATAGGTACCTTCCACCTCTTCTCTCACCCTCAACCTCTCATGCCTGCTTGCCTGCCCCAGTGCCGCCTGTCTGCCTCTTCTTCCTCCTGGTGTATGTGATGATGCCGCTCCTGCCTTCTTTCTGCTTCTCAGGCTGCACATGCAACAAGACTAAATTCTCTCCCTCGCAAGGGCTCCGTCAGTTTGCCTGAGCTTCTCTTAACTGCTTGCCTCCGTGGTTTTGGGAAAACGAATTGCAGTATTAAAAAGCAAAAAACAAACAAAAAGCAACAAACAAGCAGAAAGCACGGAGCAGGTATCCTCCCCTGCCTGAGTCCCAACCATCCTTCTGCCTAGGTTGCTTGTCCCACAAGCTAACTCTAGTTGCCAAGTCACGTAGCAGCAGTGCTGCTCGAGATAGCTTCTAGGTGCTAGCTGGGTCCCAGTGGCCCACTAGGCATGCACCGACTTCCAGCTGGAATTGCATTCTCTGAATCGAATTCCCAGCCTGGAATCGAATTCAACCCTGCCCCCACCAATTTCCTTGAGGTTCCCCACCCTGCTCGGCTCCATATATGTACAGTACATTCCAAGCACACAAACGAAAGTATGAGTACAAGAAACAAACAACAATATAGTACAACCTCACCTTAAGCTGCTGTGCAATTCACACTTAGCCGCAGGCTATGTGTTAATAGCGTGACACATTCCAGTCAGGATCACGCAGGTGAGGTGCGCAGTAAAAAATGAAATCGCCCCCTCTCATCCCTCCCACCACCCTCCCTCCCTGCGTTCCAGATACCCTCACTCCCTTCCTTCCCAGGACAAGCATGCTCGCCTCTTCTCTCTCATCAACGTCAACGCCTCATCTCTCAACTTCAACGCCTAACCCCTTCGCTCCCACCCCTCCCTATCAGGACAAGCATGCTCGCCTCTTCTCTCTCATCAACGTCAACGCATCAACCCTAAACTTTCAAACAGTCCGCAAGGATCACCTCTTTTTCGCCTGCCGCTTGCTGCTGCCATCCCCACCTCTTACCCTGTCCCCCTCGCCGCTCTCCCCTCCCTTCCCTGTCAGGATAAGCATGCAAGGTTGTTTTTTCCTTTGCTTTAAGCCTACTGCACGCACGCAGCTCACTGAGCTATGTCTGGATCTCACAAGGTTGTGCTCTCTCATCAACATCAACGCCTCATCTCTCAACTTCAAGACAGTCCGCAAGGCCCACTTGTTCTTTGCTCGCCCACACCTTTACCCATCCCCCCCCCCCTCATGCCCGGCCCCTTGGCCCCCCTCAGGACAAGCACGCGCGCCTCTTCTCACTCATCAACATCAACGCGTCAACTCTCAACTTCCAAACAGTCCTCACGGACCACCTCTTCTTCTCCAGCACCGCATCTCATGCCCTCGCCCCTTGCCCATCCCGTTCGCTCCCGCCGCTTGCCCCGAACCCCCCAGGATAAGCACGCACAGCTCTTCTCTCTGATCAACATCAACGCATCAACCCTAAATTTCCAAACAGTCCGAAAAGACCACCTGTTATTTGCTCGCCGCCTGCACCTTACTCCATAACCTCACCCCTTTGCCCCAACCCCTTGCTCCCAGGACAAACACGCAAGGTTGTTTTCACTCATCAACATCAACGTGTCAACCCTACTTTCAAACAGTCCGCAAGGACCACCTCTTCTTTGCTCGCCGCCTGCTGCTGCCGTCCATCGCGCAGTGCGGCCGCCCGTCCGCCGCCCTCGTCAGACACCTGCGCAATCATTACCTGCTCCCGCCGTCCGCCCCGAGAATCAAATCTCGGCACGAACTGGCACAATTTTTCAGCTACTCTGGGACTGCTACGCCTGATATGGGCGTCAGGGGTCCTGTTGCTACAGATGTTGCTGTCAACCCTGAGGCTGCTGCCGCTACAGCTGCTACAGCTGGGTGTGCTGCTGGGCTGACCCCAGGGGGTGGTGTGCTGGCGACGCCTGATTGGTGCGTGGTGGTGGGCCAGCGCGACACAACAAGGCGGATTGTGGGGCGGACACACATACTGGAGGAGCTGCAGGCATTCTTTCCAAAAGAGAGGATTGTGGTGAGTGAGGGAAGCTTGTGGGGTGAGTGGATCGGTGCCGTTCCACGCGTGTCCGGGTTCTGATTGGTGCGTGGTGGTGGGTCAGCGTGACACAACAAGGCGGATTGTTGGGCGAACACACATATTGGAGGAGCTTCAGGCGTTCTCTCCCAGAGAGGAACGTGCTGAGTGAGGGAATTGGCGTGATGAGTGGTTGAGTATGGTGAAGGAATGTGGTGTAGTGTGTGATTGCCTCAAGAGTGACACAACGAGGCAGATTGTGGGGCGACCACACATTCTGGAGGAGCTTCTGGCATTCTTTCCAAAGGAGAGGATCGTGGTGAGTGGTTGAGTACAGTGAAAGAGTGTGATGTGCTGTGCTGTGTGTCTGTCTCCACGAACGCACATCTTGTAGTGATTGATGCGTGCTGGTGGGTCAGCGAGGGCCACTAGGCGGATTGTGGGGCGAGCGCACATCTTGGCGGAACTGCAGGCGTTCTTCCCAAGGAGAGGCTCGTCGTGGTGGTGGGTGGTGAATGGTCGTGGTGGTGGGTAGTGAATGGTCGTGGTGGTGGGTGGTGAATGGTCGTGGTGGTGGGTGGTGAATGGTCGTGGTGGTGGGTAGTGAATGGTCGTCGTGGTGGGTGGTGAATGGTCGTGGTGGTGGGTGGTGAATGGTCGTGGTGGTGGGTGGTGAATGGTCGTGGTGGTGGGTGGTGAATGGTTGTGGTGGTGGGTGGTGAATGGTCGTGGTGGTGGGTGGTGAATGGTCGTGGTGGTGGGTGGTGAATGGTCGTGGTGGTGGGTAGTGAATGGTCGTGGTGGTGGGTGGTGAATGGTCGTGGTGGTGGGTGGTGAATGGTCGTGGTGGTGGGTGGTGAATGGTCGTGGTGGTGGGTGGTGAATGGTCGTGGTGGTGGGTGGTGAATGGTCGTGGTGGTGGGTAGTGAATGGTCGTGGTGGTGGGTGGTGAATGGTCGTGGTGGTGGGTGGTGAATGGTCGTGGTGGTGGGTGGTGAATGGTCGTGGTGGTGGGTGGTGAATGGTCGTGGTGGTGGGTGATGAATGGTCGTGGTGGTGGGTGGTGAATGGTCGTGGTGGTGGGTGGTGAATGGTTATGGTGTGAACAGGGCCCTCGTGGGCAATATGGTCTTCAACAATGTGTTCGCTCTGTTCACTCTGTTCTCTCTGTTCGCTCTGTTCGCTCTGTTCGCTCTGTTCGCTCTGATCCCTCTGTTCCCTCTGTTCGCTCTGTTCGCTCTGTTCGCGCTGTTCCCTCTGTTCCCTCTGTTCGCTCTGTTCGCTCTGTTCGCTCTGTTCGCTCTGTTCGCTCTGTTCGCTCTGTTCACTCTGTTCGCTCTGTTCGCTCTGTTCGCTCTGTTCCCTCTGTTCCCTCTGTTCGCTCTGTTCCCTCTGTTCGTTCTCGTCTACCTCAAATTCACCATGTGTTTCAACTTTCAAGGCGGCTTGTCTTTACTCCCGCTCCTCCAGGTGTTCCGAGGAGACTTGCCGTTACCTGAAGCGAAGCAGCTATTCAACCGCGCTCGACTCTTCATAACCCCACATGGAGCCCTCATGGCCAATATGGTCTTCATGCCGCCCGGAGGGTTCGTGCTAGAAGCACGGCCGGAAGATTTTGATAACAATCTATATGATTATTTGGCGTACGTTTGCGATTTGCATTATTATCTGGTGAAAGGCGTTGGTGGGAAGGATACAGATATAAGAGTGGATATGGAGGAGATGGTTGGGGTGGTGGATGTAATTTCCAAAAAGCTTATCGCACAAAGCTTGTAGTGCATTGTACCGTATGTGGAGTTGCAATGCATGCAGACTTGTTTTGTTATATCAATAGTGCAACTTCTACATAGAGAGTTGCGGGTCTTTGTTGAACATTTCCTTTGTGTGGACGTCAATTCTCGTTACCACTTCGCTTCCGCCATCCATTGTGCCAAACCAAATGCTTTGTGTGGTAAAACACCCAAAAGTTTGCATATGTATCATGGATTCTCCATTCAATGGTCACTCATGTCAATGTTAAGATCTTATTTCGTATTGTATATCTCATAGTGCATTTTTCGCTAGCTCAATCGATTGTACTTGCAAAAATATATATATGAGCATGTTTAACCAAGGTAAGACCACGTAAGTATGGAATCACCTTGTAAAAAACAACTGAAAATATCTGCTTGATTTGGCATTGAACGCGTGGCTTGGGAGCCTTCGCGGTTCGCCAATTTCCATCAGCCACACCGCAATGCACCACGTAACTGAAATGCAAAAAAAATGAGTTGGCAGCACGGAGCTGAAATTTGTGCACGGAACGGAACTGTTGGTCTCGGCCCTTGGGCTCAGGCCAGTCAGTCAGTAGTCCCAAAAACTCTCCCGGACGAAACTGTAAATTGGCCCGCAAATAAGCTTCAAGTCCCGAAGTTGCTCGCAGATTCATTAGGGGTCACCATTTTATTGACATGCCTTTTCACGGGTGCTGAGGAACGAGGGCATCAGCTGATATGCAGCAACTCATTGCTGAGCACTCAGGGCCCGCCGGGACGCTATTCGTTGCTCAGCAGCCCAAGTGAACACCGATCGCACAGGGTCCCTGAGCGCCCGCTGCAGCTGCAGTTTCGAATGCCCGTGTTCATTACACATCGGCACAACAGACGTGCGAGCGGAGCCAGCATGGTACCCGGCCGGATGCGCTGTGCGCGCGCGGCACTGATTATCGTAGTTCGTCACTTCTTGCGTCGTCACGCGAGCATTCACATAGGGCGAACTCCATAGCCGCTGGCTCTTCGCCGATGGTTGCGACGCGACTGACGCGGGCAATGGAGAGTGGTGCAACGGACTGGGCAGTCGGCTTGTCGCCGTTGCGTTCGACGCGAAGGTCACTGCGGAGAGAGCCGGCGCGCATGCACGAACAGGGACGGCCGACTCGGATCTCGCAGACGGAAAAATATGCTGCCTGCTGTCGCGCGCGTGACGGTGACGGCTGTTCGTTGAGGCTGCTGCCAGCAATGATGACGGCGTTGGGCCTTCTGGCCGTCTGTAAGTGACCGCTCCCCCTCGCCGCCAGACGAGCGCAGCGTCGCTCGAGGGCATGGGCGTGTCCTTCTCGCCCAGCGCGTGCGCGCTCCGAGAACGGCGGCGCGGCGAGTGACGGGACGCTTGCGATCGTGCGGCGTCTGAAATGACGGCCTCGAGCGGTTGCGCAGGCCCTCGACTATCCGAGAAGTTTTTTCTATTCAAACTTGCTGGTAACGGATCGCTGCTGTTTTCAAGCCCGACATTGCTCGCGCGATTCCATGAGTCAAGTCGCCGTGAGCCGAGTCCAGCGACAAGCGATTTCTGCGACCCCGAGTCCCGGCGGACGACGACATGTACGAGAAGAGAGAAACGCTGCTCGTGTCGCGGGGAGCGTCGTTAACGGCGGTGAGGGCGGCGAGATGCTGCAGCTGCTGCAGTGACAGCCCGTGACCTGCGGCGGGCTCAGTTGACGGGGGCTCTGGTTGTGCGCTTCGGTGCGCGCGGGTGGCGTCGTGAGGAGCAGGCGTGGACTTTCCTGATTGCGGCGTCTCCGGTTGAAACGGCTGTGAAAGCAATGCGAATTGCTGAGCCGTTGTTACCGTCAAAGCGCGAAATGTAGCCGTAGCAGAGCGAGTAGAGTGATAAGCAAGTTCGTCAGACATTTCAGAAGCCATTGTTTGATTTGTGATTGAATTTCTAGGGAGTGCGGGAGTCCTGAGGTGGATGTGAGGGCTGAGAGCACCACCCTGCTATTTATGCCCTCACCGCATTTCTGAAACAAGGCTACGGCGCGCAGCCACGCACGGCGAGGTTGGCCGAGCCTGCCATAGCGAAGGTGTGGCGCCGTAGCTAGAAGAATAGAGAGAAGAGTCTCACGTAGCGGAATAGAAAGAAGTTAGACCGAGAGAGAGAGAAGCCTAGCTCCAGATTCATCGACGAGAGAAGATAGGAAGATACTTTCAAGAAGATAGGATTAGAAGTAAGGGATGAAGATGATACAAGCAAGAAGCAAAATAGGTATTTATGCTAGGATCTAGGAAAGGCGACTTGGGAGGAAAACCGCATCGCCACTCAATCTAGCATGGCATCTTGGCATAGCGCCTCGATGCCATGCCTTGCTGTACTATTCTTCCTGACAGGGATACGGAAGTACGTCCTAGGCTAGCAAGTGGTGCTGTTCGTAGGTAGCTAGGCAAGTCCTGTTCGGAAATTCCCATGCATCTCGCATGGTGAATTCCGTCTTGTTACATAATTCCCCTCCCCACGAAGCATCGTCCCGATGCTTACCCGTTCTAACTAATGAGAGGTCTAAAACCAGAAAATACACACAACATTCCCTAGAGATGCAAATAAGAAAATATTTACAAGTTTAGGTTGGTTTTCTCTTGGTCTTCCTGGTTCTTCAGGCTTCAGCAGAGTCAAGAAGAAAATCAGAGGAGGAGGTTGGCATATAGCTGCAGCCCATACTACAGCTTTTGCGGTCACATGCAGCCCTTGATCAATGGTTGTGGACAGTTTCCACTAAGCCCATGCTTTCTCAGCTATGGCGCTTCTTACTGAACGACACAATCCATACGAAGCTGCCTCAACGCTGGTGCCTTCAGCACGTCCAGCCATACCGCCAAATATGCCTAGGAGAGATGTAGAAAGTAAGAGATACAAGCTTCCTTCCTAGCCAAGCAAACCTTGTGGATTCACTAGAGTAGTGAAATAAGGTGCTTCAGCTCTTTATATGTTACAGAGCTTTGGACTAGGAGCAGAGAATCTCAGAATCAGAACAGAGGAAATATAGTATTTGGACACGTCATTGCCTTACTCGTAATTGCTCTATTGACTTTCTTAGTTCAGAGAGCAGAAGCAAGAAAACATAGTAGTGCAATCTTCTCAGTTTTCAGCAAAGGAATCACGTTGTAGAGGGTTGACAGAAGATGCACGAACTCCAAAGAATTTGGAATCAGATTTGAAGACCAAGACGAAATGCTTCAGCAGAAAGTTTTCATGTCGTGCAATTGATATTTCAAACACTTTTTACCCAACTACACCTTGGGCTAGAAAGTTGCATGGGGAACGAAGTGTAGCAGTAGGAAGACGCGTTGAGCAGAAGGGTCATTACGAAATTCGAAATTCTGCTCCCAAACTTTCTGGTTGGCTGATCTTTCGCCCAATCACAGGTTCACGAACCTTCGCCAAGCAGATTTCGACTTCGCCAAGCAGATTTCGACCTCACCAAGTAGATCTCGACTTCACCAGAGTTGGAGCAGGAACTAACTCGCCATGCTAGCTCCTCCAAGGTAGTAGACTCGTAGAAGTCGAATTGAAGAGTTTCATAAGTAGAAGTTAGGAGGAAAGCTGCTAGCTTAGCACGAGAGAAGAAGCCGAGGAACGTTAGGCTCGGATACCAATGAAACAAGGCTACGGCGCGCATCCACGCACGGCGAGGTTGGCCGAGCCTGCCATAGCGAAGGTGTGGCGCCGTAGCTAGAAGAATAGAGAGAAGAGTCTCACGTAGCGGAATAGAAAGAAGCTAGACCGAGAGAGAGAGAAGCCTAGCTCCAGATTCATCGACGAGAGAAGATAGGAAGATACTTTCAAGAAGATAGGATTAGAAGTAAGGGATGAAGATGATACAAGCAAGAAGCAAAATAGGTATTTATGCTAGGATCTAGGAAAGGCGACTTGGGAGGAAAACCGCATCGCCACTCAATCTAGCATGGCATCTTGGCATAGCGCCTCGATGCCATGCCTTGCTGTACTATTCTTCCTGACAGGGATACGGAAGTACGTCCTAGGCTAGCAAGTGGTGCTGTTCGTAGGTAGCTAGGCAAGTCCTGTTCGGAAATTCCCATGCATCTCGCATGGTGAATTCCGTCTTGTTACAATTTCCCAATTTCCCACTGCCAAAAACGCTTAGTCGCGTTGCACTGCATTGCCTGGGAAGCCCTCAGGGATGCTGCTCTACCAGGGGGCAGTCCTGCGCTGCGCATGTTCAGTGTGTGAAGTGAAGGTTGGCGGGGTGGGGTGGGGTGGGGTGGGGAGGCGGAACATTTTGGACGAGGTGAGGTGATACTGTACGCATCTGGTACGGATTCAACCGAAAGTGTTTTGCATATCTGCGGATTTGTGTGGGAAACTGCCACAGAAAACTCCAATACCTTCAGGACTCGAAACTAGTCGCCATGATTGCATTTCAAGTATAAGAAGTACCCCTGATTAATTTCATGTAAATTCTCGATACTAAATTTCAGCAAGTGCTACGGGTTTCGGGTATCCAAATGTCGCTAATGCTAAGAAGGTCACCGCCTTTTCTACGACCAAAAAATTGGCAAAGGGTGCCTATGATCAGGTTAGGTATGATAAGGGTGATAGCGGGGTATATGATCATCGATCTACCGCGATGCGCTTCTCGTTTCGAATCGCCGGTTCATGCGCGCACACTTGCGCAATCTCTCGCCATGCTCCGCTCCGCTCGATTTCTAGCAGAAAGCTGCGCGGGTAACTGCAGCACGTGCTATCACCACGTGATGTGGTCGAGTCACTTCGTCTCGCTCAAGCGACAGCACACTCACCAGATTATCCTCGCTAATACACTAGGCGCAGTACCGCGAGATTCCTTGCCTCTCCCGGAGAGCAAGGGGACAGCGCATCACCGACGAAATCTAGTATGCGAGCGAATCGTCGATATCGTCACGTGCTCCAATGCCAATTGGCGGACTAGGTCTGTTCACGTGGCATCGAGTCATCGTGTCGCTCAAACGGCAGCAATTCACCCAGCTCACAGATACCCTCCTAGATCACGCGCTCCGAGACTCCCGGCCCTCACCGCCTCTCCGACTCGAGAGCAAGGGGGCGACGCATGACCGACGAAATCTATGATGAAAAGCGAATCGCCGGCGGTAACGTCACGTGTTCATCAGAGCCAGTGGAGGCATGGTTCCAGTGCCGTTCGGCGGGACTGGATCTGTTCACTGGCATCGAGTTATCGTGTCGCTCAAACGACATCAGCACAGTCACCAGATACCCTCCTAGATGCAGTCCGAGACTCTCAGCCTCTCCAACCCCCACTGGCAGTCCGAGAGCAAGCGGACGACGCATCACCGACGGAAATCTAGGGTGAAAGCGACTCGTCGCCGATAACGTCACGTGATGGTCGAAGCCAGTGGAGGCATGGCTCCAGTGCCATTCGGCAGGATTGCATTTGCTGCGTCAGCTGAGAATGTTGGAAGCTTCTGACCGGCTGCAGCCGGATTCCCATCGCCTGAGACTCTCAGAGGTACTGAGAGTACCATTCCTTTCCTACCAGACGCCTTTGAAATATCCTAACGTGACATTGAGGTCCTATAATCTCGATAGGCGTCCCGCCGCTGTCCATTCCTCAAGTGTCACACGAGTTACCATCTCTCTCAACCCTAGTTCACGCGTAGTACCCTCCAATCCTCTCCTCGGTTGTCAGTCTGGCTCAACCCCGAAGAGCCGTCAGTGGAACTCTGGAGACTCCCGTGACTAAGAGACTTCAGTGGCTGTGTGAACCCGCCAGTTCTCCGTGCGACTTGTTTCACAGGGACTCAACTCAACCCACTGGGATCATTCGTGAGTAGTAAGTAGTATGAGGCCTCGGAGTTACTGGGCCAAGGCATTGGTGAGAGAGCACGCGCCAGGAGTACTATTAAGGATGAAGCGAGGCTGAGAAGACAACCACGCTGACGCTGACCACCACCACAGCGACTGTGCTGCCACTGCCAGCAATGCTCGGCGTCAGCGCAGGGTTTTCAGGGCCTGTGCGTCAACTCCTGCAGCAACCAGCCCTGCAGCCACGTCAGCAGCATCCAGCCCCACAGCCACGTCAGCAGCATCGAGCCCCGCAGCCACGTCAGCAGTATCCAGCTCCGCAGCCACGCCAGCAGCATCCAGTGATACGGAGAGAATGGCTGCTGAAGCAGCCGATGCGACAACCGGCGCGCAGCAACACGAGGGTCCTGAACAACAGGAGCTAGTACTTTCTGTTGGAAGCACGCCTATGCAAGGAGCTGATGGCTCTGTGAGGCAAGGAAGTTGTGCTGCGGTCACGTCAAAGTGCAACAAGCAGTCAACCTGGGCCGATTATGTCTGTAGCAGGGAGAGGCTCGGAATCACTGTGCTGTCTGCCAAGCCGCTTCAACACCATGCTGGAGCAAATCGTTGTGTTGCAGTTGCATCTCCCATTGTTTACAGAGCCGAACTGGTGGAGGGATGTGCAGGAGAGACAATGCAGCAGCAATCAGGCGAGACAATGCAGCAGCGAGCAGGCAAATCAATGGAGCGACGGACATGCTTTGAAAAGCCAGCTTGTACTCGAGTGGTCATCCCTGACCTGAACCTACCCGTACCTGCATGTGAGGATATTGGTTCGGGAAGCTGCCAGATCATTGGAAATTCACATGGGGGAGGTTCTTATTCGGGAGTCAGTCCCTCTCTTGGTACCTCTGGGGTACAAATAGCTGAATCTAGAGGCGTTGAACAGGGCTAGTTGAATTTGAGTGGCCACAAGTGGAAGCAGCAGGAGCAGGATCAGCAGCAGCAACCACAGCAGGGGCACAAACCAGGTCACCTGTGCCATAGGTGTGCCGCTGAGAGTGCGGAGTTCGAGAGCAGGGCCCGTTTTTCAGAGTTTATCACTCTGGTTTTCAGGACTATTTTTTTAGCAACCCTGATTTTCAGGGTGAGTGAGGGAAGCTTGTGGGGTGAGTGGATCGGTGCCGTTCCACGCATGTCCGGGTTCTGATTGGTGCGTGGTGGTGGGTCAGCGTGACACAACAAGGCGGATTGTTGGGCGAACACACATATTGGAGGAGCTGCAGGCATTCTTTTCCAAAGAGAGGATCGTGGTGAGTGGTTGAGTACGGTGAAAGAGTGTGATGTGGTGTGCTGTGTGTCTGTCTCCACGAACGCACAACTTGTAGTGATTGATGCGTGGTGGTGGGTCGATGTGACACAACAAGGCATATTGTGGGGCGGACACACATATTGGAAGAGCTTCAGACGTTCTTTTCAAAAGAAACGATCGTGGTGAGTGGTTGAGTACGGTGAACGAATGTGGTTAGGTATGCTGTGTGTTTGGCTCCAGTCTCACACCACGAGGAGGCGATGATTGAGGGGCGAACGCACATACTGGAGGAACTGCAGGCGTTCTTTCCCAAGGAAAGGATTGCAGTGAGAGGAGAATAGCCTCGGTGGTTAGTGGTTGAGTGCGGGGAATGAGTGTGATGTGGTGTGCTGTGTGTTGGTCTCCAGACTCACACCACGAAGAGCAGACGATTGTGGGGCGGACACACATATTGCAGCAGCTGCAGGCGTTCTTTCCCAAGGAGAGGATCGTGGGGAGTGAGAAGAGCCATGGTGAGAGAAGGGGTGAGCGCAGTAGATGGGTCTGACTTGCCTCTGTCGGAGGCACAGCAACTGCTCAACTGTGCTCGCCTGTTCATCATTTTTTAGGCGCCTCAAAGTCGTCTCATGTCTCTTGCTTTTGAGGCGCCTCAAAGGTGAGCGCAGTAGATGGGTCTGACTTGCCTCTGACTGAGGCACAGCAACTGCTCAACCGCGCTCGACTGTTCATCACCCCTCACAGGCGCTCATGGCCAATATGGTCTTCATCCTTGCGTTCACTCTGTTCCCTCTCTTGTGCCTCTCATTTCCCACCCCAGTTCTTCCGAGGCGACTTGCCTTTACCTGAAGTGAAGCAGCTATTCAACCGCGCTCGACTCTTCATAACCCCTCACGGCCCCTCATGGCCAATATGGTCTTCATGCGTGTCCTTCTCGTGCCCATCTTGTCTCATTCCCAAATTCCCCCAACATGAACCATCTCTCCCCCAGGTGTTTCGAGGAGACCTCCCTCTGCCTGAGGCAAAAGCACTATTCAACCGCTCTCGACTGTTCATCACCCCTCACGGGGCCCTCATGGCCAATATGGTCTTCATGCCACCCGGTGGGTTCGTGCTGGAAGCACGGCCGGAAGACTTTGATAATAATCTGTATGATTATTTAGCTTATGTTTGCGATTTGCACTATTATTTGGTGAAGGGCGTTGGTGGGAAGGATACGGATATTAGAGTGGATATGGAGGAGATGGTGTTGGAAACTATTGATCTATAACGCTTCTGTCGTATCGAAGCTTCGACACAAAACGGAACTGACTACAGCGAAGAAACATTCGAGTCAACCAAGGCAACCGTCGGAGGTTGCGCGAAGGTCAAAGGTCTCCGACCTTTGACCTGACGAAACGTACAGTGCGACAGCAAGGACACATAACTGACTCATTACAGAGCAGTTACCCGAGTCGGCACTGTATCGAACCGCAACAGCAAAAACAGTTAAAGTAGGACTTTTCATATTCCTTGTAATCATATAAAAGGCATGTATCTCTTTGCTATTATTTAACTTATCTTGTTCTCACAAACTAGCACAAGGTGGTTCACGACAACTCTTTAAACGCTTCCGCTATTACAACTCTACGTCAACACCCGATCTTAGTCCTGAAAGGTTCCTAAGGGCTTTCCTCAGCCCAACATGGTATGAGAGCAAGGCAGGACAAGATCACTCTTTAACCTTTTGCAATACAAGTCATGGCTACACAAAAGGAGAGGAGCTCCTCCAACGGATCTCTCGGCACGACCCCTACTCCACCTCCAGTCTGCGAAGAATGAAACAGGAATGAATGAACTAGGAAAGTGTGAGATACAAATATGAAAGCTGTACCCCTTAGTGTCTACCCCACTACAACCTACATAGGCTAAGGCATATACATCTGACACACCCCCATAGGCAAAGTGGGGGAGAACTAGGGGTCATAAGACCAGTCAAGCAAAGCAAAGCAAAGCAAGCTCAGGGTGGATCACAACGTCACCACACAGTCTGAGCACAGGTTCAAAGGCCACAAGGCCAGTTCACATGCAAGTTCATATATAAAGGTAAACAAGCAAGTGCAGGTATATATAGATCACAGAACAAGCAAAGTCAAGAGGTAAGCAAGTGAGGCCAAGTAGGCACAAGACCTAGCATAGTACAGAAGCGCTGATGATCACAAGGCTGAAGTGCCTTGGTAAAGATATCAGCAGTGTTGGCCTGAGAGGCCACGTAAGCAAGGCGCAGCTGGCCACGCTGCTGCAGCTCACGAGCAAGGAAGTAGCGAAGAGCAATGTGCTTCGTTCTGTGCTCCATTCTGTGCTCCCGACACAAGGCCAGCATGGCCTTGTTGTCTACGTACAGAACTGGAGGAGAACGAGGCGGCTCTCCCAGGTCAGTCAGCAAGTAGGTGAGCCAGCGTAACTCCTGTGCAGCCATGCCCCCTGCGTAGATCTCAGCCTCACAGCTGGAGCTGAGAACAGAAGACGAGCGGGTAGACCGCCACGAAACAGAGCCGGAACCAAGGCTGAAGGTGTAACCCTGTGACGACCGCTGTGTAGCCAGGTCGTCCACCCAAGACGCGTCTGCGTGACCAGTGAGGACCACTGGACTCCGCCCTCCAAGCACTAGCCCCAAGCCCGAAGTACTGCACAAGTAGCGCAACACCATCTTCGCTGCAGCCATGTGCTCTGGTCGGTGTCTCCCAGGAGCAACATAGCACGCCAGAATGCTCAGAGGGTATGCTAGGTCAGGTCGAGTGCAGGTCATCAGGTACATGAGGCAGCCAACAAGCTCTGGGTACGGGCCACTCGGCTCTACGGACTCATCCGAAGGCAGAGCTGAGAGCGAGTGGCGAGTAGACAGAGGAGTGGCCTGAGGCGAGGAGTACGTGAAGTCGAAGCGCTGAAGGACCTGCTGCACCATGTGTGACTGAGTCAGGGTGATGGTGCGCCGTGCTCTGTCCCGGGTGATCTGCAAGCCAAGATAGCTGCGCAGTTCACCCAGGTCTGTGCACGTGTCTCTTCTGCAGCTCGGACTTCACGTGGGCGAGTCCACCAGTGTCACCTGTAGCAAACACCAAGTCGTCGACGTACACGAGGATGTAGAACGGCGGCAGTAAGGTGTCGGTGCGAAGAAACAGCGACGGGTCAGCAGTGGAAGGAGCAAACCCAAGAGCCGCAAGCGTAGTCCTCAGTGTGTCGTGCCACTCACGTGGCGCCTGGCGGAGACCGTAGACTGGCCGCCGGAGGCTCCACTGGGTACCAGGAGGAAACGACCCAGTGAAGCCAGGTGGGCGGCGCAGCCAGATCTCCTCGTGCAGACTTGCCCTGTAGGAAAGCAGTGCTGAAGTCAAGGGAGTGAAGCTCGTAGTCACGCTGAGCAGCAACGTGCAGCAGAACCCGAAGAGTGGTCATCTTCGGGGTCGGGGAAAGGTCTGAAAGTAGTCAACTCCCTGCCGCTGACTGAAGCCTCGAGCCACGTAACGCGCCTTGAAGACAGGCGGAGAACCCGGCGGCCCCTTCACCCTGAAGATCCACATGCCACTGACGATGTTCGCCCCAGGTGGGGGAACCTCGTCGACGTAGGTGCCTGTGGACTTCCAGGAAGCCATCTCTGCGTCCATGGCTGCCTGCCACTGAGAGGAGTAAGGACCCTCTATCGCCTCTGCGTAAGAGCGCGGGGTCGGGATGTCTGGTGCATCCGGGTCTCCCTCAGGGGCAAGCAGTGTGGACACGAGATGAGGTAAAGCAGCAGCAAAACACTGGAACTCCTCTTGTCGGTCCTCAAGGACGTCCGTGCTAAGAGCACACTCACCCCCGACGGACGGAGGACAGACAGACGCAGACGCTGACTCAGCAACAAGACTAGCGGCGTAGTCTAGGCGACAGTGAGCAGCGAAGTCGACAAGCTCGGCAACTAAGGCAGACGCAGCAGTGGACTCAAAGGAAGGGCCAGTGACAACAGTGGCTAGGAAACGCGTGAAAGTAGGACTGGCAGCACGAAGGGAGTCAGACGCCGGGTCAGCAAGAGCAGGAAGAGAGGACTCTGGAGGAGACGGCAAAGGGACACGCTATGGCGCAGTGGAAGGACGCAGT